GGCACTAGAAGCAAATAGTTATACAGAAGGTTTCGGATAAGTAATGCTTTGTTTTCTACCATTTAACGTATAATACACTTTTTCTTGGTTTTGTTTACTTTTATTTTCTTCGTTTTAACGTGTTTCTATTATGCTCAAATTCAGCGTGTTTTAATGTATCACTTTCTGTCAAAACTTTTCAATTCGTTTTCCAAGAGACTCTCCAAGACACATTAATTAATCATTTCATTTTAAGAGAGCCAGAGGAGTGTGTTTATCACGGTTTGTTGGAACAGCACGGAGCGAAGTTGCTTTTAACCGTCTACAATTTTGCACGTGCTATCGTGTCCGGTAGATAAGGCCAATAAAATCAAAGCACAATGTGGAGCAATTCGGCAAAACCATGACACGATAGATCATATTTTTAGTTGTTAACATGGCTACAACTGTAATCTACTTAGTTTTCATTGTGATTTCCAATGTCACATCGCAGATGTCTGGGAACGATAATGTTGCGAAATGTCGGGCTAGAAAAGCTGAGCTTTCAAATTCAGTACACCTAGGCGTTGATCAGAATTCTATGATGCACTCTTATTGTGTGTGAAAGTTAACTTCGCTTGGCGAGATAAATAATTTTTTCTGTGTAAGTGGTCGTTGTCTTGGATTCATTTACGCTTTAGCCGTGCTATCATCGAGACATGATNGGGCAGACAAAGTGGAAATTTGCGGCACTAGAAGCAAATAGTTATACAGAAGGTTTCGGATAAGTAATGCTTTGTTTTTTACCATTTAACGTATAATACACTTTTTCTTGGTTTTGTTTATTTTATTTTCTTCGTTTTAACGTGTTTCTATTATGCTCAAACTCAGCGTGTCTTAATGTATCACTTTCTGTCAAAACTTTTCAATTCGTTTTCCAACAGACTCCCCAAGACACATTAATTAATAATTTCATTTTAAGAGAGCCAGAGCAGTGTGTTTATCACGGCTTGTTGGAACAGCACGGAGCGAAGTTGCTTTTAACCTTCTACAATTTTTGCACGTGCTATCGTGTCCGGTAGATAAGGCCAATAAAAGCAAAGCACAATGTGGAGAAATTCGGCAAAACCATGACACGATGGATCATATTTTTAGTTGTTAACATGGCTACAACTGTAATCTACTTAGTTTTCATTGTGATTTCCAATGTCACATCGCAGATGTCTGGGTACGATAATGCTGCGAAATGCCGCCGGGTTAGAAAAGCTGCGCTTTCAAACTCAATACACCTAGGCGTTGTTCAGAATTCTATGATGAACTTCGCTTGGCGAGATAAATATTTTTTTTTCTGTGTAAGTGGTCGTTGTCTTGGATTCATTTACGCTTTAGCCGTGCTATCTTTGAGACACGATGCACTCGGGAAATTTGGATAGCACTTAAGAAGCTAGAGTTCCAATTGGCCGAGACTCGAGAAGCTCTTACCTTCTTTCAATCTTCTGCTTACATGAGAACTCTCCCTGATGAGGTTTTGATTGAATTTAGACTAACTTGTTGCAAGAGTTAGTTATGAGTTAGAAATTCCATGGTAATATCTTCAGTGACGACTGAGACACTTCGGTAAAACTGATTGAAAGCACTGGTTTTTACGAGGTTGATTGAAATTAAAATGTCACGCCGTCAGAACATTTTATTTCTCCAAACCACCACTAAAGAACAGCGCAGCTCCTAGCGCTCTAAAAATCTTAAATTCAAAATTTTAACCCAATCTGGTAACCAGGTTACCGTTCATGGTGATCACGATTCGCATTTATCTATATGGGTGTTTATGTATATGCATGTACTGGAGACTTTTAGGATGCTTCGTTGTGGAAAGGGAACAACAAATTATGAAGGAAAATCGTGCGTATCCCTACATCTCAATGTGCTTTTCAGTTTTATCTGTCTATCACTGATACTGTTCAGAAGGTCCCTACAGTGACAACAGATGCCGCCCATCCGGAAAGTTTTAAAAGAGCCGTGGAGAATTAATTAAGCTCCTTTGCAATTGCTGCATGGACCGCCCATGCAAACTTGCGAGAATCTTTTCTTTAGCTTCAGAGATTATGTTTAGCAAATTTAAGATGATATCAACTTAACTTTGTGCTCAATTTGGAGAATGATTTGCCATTGGGACTTGTCTGAAGGCCAAATAATGTATTATTCTAACATGGAACAGCTGCACAGCTGAATAAAGGGAACTACGCTAAAAACTACACTGATTTATTCATCTCCTGACCTAGAGATGATTCCTCGCTTTTTTATATCTTGTGTCTCGGTATCACGGTATTTTTTTTTTTTAATATATCAACATTATTGGTCCTTTCAAAACACTGCAAAGTTGAAGAAATTTGGAGATATTGATGGAGATATTGATTTAATCCTTGTCTCCGATCTACAACCAAGAGCCAGCTGTCAGCGTCACAAAAAAGTTGAATCAAGCTCAACATGTTTTAGTAGTCACCAGCCGTTCAGATAGATATATTATGTACATTTACGCATATTAAGCTACGCGACAGCGTAAATACACATTGCAGTGGGCGTGCTAAAAGCCGCCAAAATAACCGGTTGTTCAAAATTGAGTCAGTTGAAGCCACACAGACACACTTATTACCCAGCACATACATGCACGTAACACCTTCAACAATATAGAGAGATGTTGCAAAACGAGAATATTCTGCAGGCAAGAAAGTTTTCATCATTTTTGCGTGGTCATCTTTGTCGGAAAGTGTTTAAAGCGCATTTATGTAGACTAAAACATGGAGAAGGTTGAAAAATTAAATGGTCATTGGTTACCATTGTAGTTCATCTTGATTAGTATCTTAAGTATCAATGTTTTTCTTACCTTGGAGTTGAAACCAGTAAACTAGAAGGCCTACTTTAAAGTACAACTGGAAAGTCATCGTAGTTCACATCACCTAACGGCGATCATGCAGGTTTTTACACAAGTGCACAATGCATATGAAAAGCTTGCATTTGCTAAATATGGTTCAGTGCTCCTTCGTGAGCCAATTAACGCAACTGTTTTGATCGAATATGCACACACTCAGACATTAAAATAATTTATTCATGTAGCGTTGTAAATTGAAAAGAAGCCCGCGAACCCACCGCAGGGTATCAAGGTGAGAACAAGAAGGTGGTGCGTAATCGGCCTTAAATATGCCGAAAATGGCGGGTCTAATTTTATGAAAAGTTCTGGATCAATACCCTCAAGCTATAAATATCACCGCGTAGCCGGACAAATTCAAATTCTCCATAGATAATCATCATCGTCAATTTTATGGTCCAAAAATCATTTTACTGCAGCCACATGCACGTACTATCACGGAGAATACTGATGATGAAAGCTTCATAATATCCACAGTTATGAAGAGTTTAAAAATGTATGTTATGCTCTTGTCCTCAGGTTATGTGTTCTATAAAGAGACAGATAAAGTTCAAAATTAGCCGCAGGTCAACGATGCAAATATAGAAACAGTATCGTGGTCTGTGTTTATGTCAGTGTATTTGTAAGCATTAGATTCGCTTTGTTTAGTTTTGCTTTTCTATTTTTCCATTTCTTTTTTTAACACTTCTTTGTGATGCTGAAACGCAGCATGTTTTAATGCATTACTTTCTGTGAATATTCTTCAATCCGCCGGTAACAAACAGACTGCTAAAAGTACTTGAATTAATCACTTGATTTTCAGAGCGGTCTGTTTAACACGGCTTGAATTTGAGAGCAGTATGCGGCAAAGGTGCTTAACGGTCTACCAGTGTTAGCTTGTGCACAGCTCTTATCGTGTCTGGTAGATTAGGCTAATAAAAACAGAAGCAGAATCGCAGACAGAACCATTGAAACGGTAGATCATATTTTTAGTCGTGACCTTGATTACAGTTGCAATCCACTTAGCTGCCCAAATGGATGTACACTATCACATAGCTAGCAGGTGCCTGGATACTGTAATGCCGAGTTTTTTTTTACAGCATTGAATTGCTGGCAAAGCGACCTTATCAAACTACGTTAAACTAAGTTATACGTGACTCATAGTGCAATATATGATTCGCGAGAGAGCTTATTTTTCCATTGGCGACGATATATCCTTTTAGCTGTGTGTCAACAAGTTATGATGCACTAGGAAGATTTGGAGAGTGCTAAAAGCAACTAGAATTTCCCTCGGCGACACCTCGAGCAACACTTACGCTTCTTCTGTGCATTCCAAGCTGCCGGTTTGGATCATAACTTTCGCTAATAAAAACAAAGTCTTTAGTGTATTGCTTAAATGTTTGCAAGAAAATATGAAACAAAGGGCCAGAGCAAAGGCTTAGGGAAATGAGACACATTAGATCAAGTACAACATGATTATTGCATCTAGATATCTTTCAGCTCTTATTAATGATATCAATGTTTGGAAAACTTTTTCCCATGGAGATATGTTGAGTCGTCGCTCAATGTGCAAGGTACATCTAAGTTATAGCAACGATCAGTAAAGCCAAATTAATCATCGATCCTGTGGCGCTTAGTTCTGCTTTCCCAAGTCAATATTTCAAACAACGTGTGCCGGGTTCTAGGCAGACAATAATATTAGCTATACTTTTTAATAAATTATACACGGGTTAAAGCATACATTCCGATACCTGTTAATTATTGGCCATTGAAAGTTTATAATTTATAATGCACGGGTACATTAATTGTGTTAGGTTCTGACGGGGCTGGGGATGGTATTCGGAGCTATTCTGATACCGCCACCTCCCCCTTTTAATCTCAATTGATAGCGGTGTTAGTTCTGAGGTAAAGTTCCTCGTTGGAGATGATTCTCGGCCAGAAGATCCTGAAGATTTCTCCAAAAAAATCTTGTATCTCCAATACATCTGTCATGATTTGCGTAACCTTCCAAGAGTCTGCACCACATAGAAGGACTGAGGGAACGGTGCGCTAAAAAAATCCTGAGGGATGCAGGGGTAACGAGAGACCGCATAATGAATATATAGAAGGGGACAGCGTGGGACCGGGTCTGGGCGGGGGGGGCATTCTCTGTACCCTGAATCACGACAAACAAAAAGGTTAACTTTATTTGGGAGACTTTTATTAGCCATTTGCAACAATAAATGGGAAAGTGATGTTATTCCAAAGCTGTTGTTATGACTAACTTCTAAACGACAAAGTTTGTTAATTATCTTCACCTCTGACCGGGACTCAGTGAACTGCTAAACTAAAAGCAATGCAAAGTTTCAACTGTTTTTGTTCGTGAGTGTTCTTCGGAGAGAAAAACTGGTTGGCTAATCGTTATACTACACAAACGTAAAAAATCGTCATATCATAATCATTGACACACTGATTAATAAGCGTTAAGTTTTACTGACAGCTAGATAACACATGTCCAAATTCTTAACAAACAGCAAGTAAATAAAACTAAAGGCGTTAATCGTTTTTATGATTTGTCTGTTTGATTTGTCTTATTTGTCTTGTCTAACGAGCTGATGTCGTTATCAGATGGGGCGTCATTGGTTATAGTGGACGTAGGGGAGGATATTACTAACACACACTAAAATTATGGCCTAGATTGTCCGATAATGCCAATACAGGGGAGGATATATTTAAATGAAGCAATTACTTATCTCCCTAGCAAAATCTTGTAGTATTATCTCCTCCCAGTAGAGTTCATGGCTCCTGATTTGACAATCTTGCAGAGCGAGAGAGACAACGGGTATATAATGAAATCTAAATTTACAGACATCCGCGTTCGAAATGCGACTATTAGAATGGACATGGTCGGTCACACCGCTATCGGTATAATTTATAAAATTACAAAAATTACGCTATTATATAAAATTACGCCGCGCAATGCTGACGGAATATCTACCTTAATTAAGTTCGACCTTTTATCATTATTTTCTACTTTTAACAAACACGCATTGCTTCTTCGGATGGTTATCAATCATTCAAATTGGCTGATCCTTGTTGTATCCATCATTGATAGAACCAGCAACGACTTCCATTTCCAGCTTCGATTTTTCTCTCGGGGAAGGGGTAACGCGCTTGGGAATTCTGCAAAACATATGCGAAATTGAAAAATAAAGTGAATGTTACATAACTAATAAGATGTAAGAATTTTAAGCATATGCATGTTCATCTTTGCACCTATATCTCCTTAGACATTTTAGTTTATAGTCAAAAGATGCATTTTGACCCGCCTTTCCCGTTCCCTAAGATGAAGATACAAAATAAAAAAAAAAATAATAATAAATATACAACCCCATCCCACGTTTTGACTTTAATAAAGTGATTTAAATTGATTTGATCGGGCCGCTGCTCATCTATACTTTAACTCCTTTCCTGAAGTGTAGAGAAGCACTTCGAGAGAAAATTAACTTGCATTGCCCAAGAGCATAGCTCATGGGTCCACCCAGGGATCTACCCGTATTCTAATGTAATTACCATAAGACTTCCGAGCCTAACAGGACATGAAGCATCACTCCTAACAAAATTGTACAAAAATCATTGCATTGTTATTAGGCCTGCATCAAATCGTCAAATCTCTCATTGATTGATTTCTCGTAAATGTAACAAATGTTGTAAAGATCACCAGTTTTGTCCCACCTGTTTTTTGGGTTACTGCATTTCCATATGATTATAACAGTAATGATAATGACCAACAGCCCGCCGGCTACGGAACCCGCAATGATGTAAGGCATCTTGTTAGAGTCTTTTTCAGTGGGCTTAGACGGAGCTACTGTTGATGTTACCGCTGTTGATGTTTCAGCGACGAAGGTTCGCACGCTCGAAATGTCACCATCAATGGAGTTTGAAATGTCTGCAATAGCCCCTTTAACAATTGAAACGAGGTTGTCTTTCGAGATGGCGTCAACATTGGAAGTTCCGGGTAGAAATTGCAAGTAGAATGCTAAGCTTGCCAGTAGAGGGTTCGTAGAAATCTGTTTTGGGTAGCCTGGAAGAATGTGAACTTGGTCTTCTGTGAAGATGATGTAGGAAGCTGCTCTCTTACGGCGAGCGCTGCACAAGGGGTAGAAAAAGAAAACATGAACTACCACATCACCGATTCACTGTGATTTCTCTGTTGTCTTTTGTCTGATTCTTTTTCTTTCTCATTTTTTCTGATCATTTTTGCAGACGATTTTCTTTGCCAATATTCAAGCCGAGCTACTTTGTTTCTTTCGGGACTACGTTTAAACACTGAGGATGAACAGTACTCTCAAAACTTTGCTTCCTTTGGAATCGGCAATAATACATCAACAATGCAAAAGCCACGATCTCACATAATTAAATGAGATTTTTTTAAAAGTGATAACCGTGGAAAAATATTAACAAAGCGAATGAATGAAAGACAATGCAGACGCATTTACAGATGAACGCACGAAGAAACATCAAAGTGAATGGATGAGCCGAACAAAAGCACAAAAATGTACCTGGTAGATGTCGATCTGCAGTCGTCCGTTTCTGAACAGTGCTTGGTTGCTGCCGTTGCAACTGCAGCCTTGAATGCTTCTTGTAGAGGTTGGTTCCACTGAAAAGGAATAGCAAAGAATATCCAAGACAGATCTCTAAAATGGGGCACCTGTCACGACTGCGACAATTATATGGCGTGAAGCGTTTTATTTACTCAGTACCCCAAATTTCAATTTCAGGTTCCGGGTTGTGAAAAACAATCGACAATTTAACTAACTTACAATGCAGTTTTACTGCAGCTAAGGAATATGCCTGCTTGGGAAGCGTTTTGTGGACACGGGCTTCATCTGCATCCAGATTTCATCCCTTCCGCTGGAGCAGTGAATAAATCATTTTACTATATGGCTAGCTCCGTGAGCGAGCAAGATGAACCGAGTTCTGCGCTGTAATTGGCTACTCGAGCGGGCACGATGACGCTATCTTGCCCATTCGGGATTACACACTGTGGCTAAGAAGAAAGTAGTGTTCTTTTCCATAAAATAAACCCTTTGCGTGTTTATGTACCTCGACTCCGTCTCAGCCCATAGAAACGCAAAAACAAAAAAATGAACTTGGCCAATATCCAGTTATCTTGACCTCACGCTTGGTCAACAACCCATACATACAAAAAAACGAGAAAATATTATCCAACCTGAGACACATTTAACCCCTGTATCTCCAACTCGACAGACTGGCTTCTCTCCTCGTCGGATGGTGTTCGCGGTTCTTCGGCAGGGGGAGGTGGAGGAGGTTCAGCTCCTTTTTCAAGTCCTTTTGACAAATACACAAACATGTACTTAAAAACTAGTCTCTGTATATTGACACAAGTTTATTAAACATAGTAACTCAGAACACTACAAGTCATGTTTAGTTCGTCTGATATGAAGAATGCACAAAGGGGTATATACTTTCCTTACCTAGCGATTAAGGCAAGTCTTGTCGAGTGCGACTAACAAACATATGACAACACAATGGGAACAAACTCAATCGAGCAGTTAATGGCGTCATCCTCACCGATTAAAAAGACATAAAACACGACAGCATGGATATCTTCACGAGTAAACATAAAATATAAAACACTGAGAAATAAGTGGACGAATCCTAGTATTTAGAGCAAATTATCGTCATCGATTGTGTCAAGAAAGTTTGCTTTTTTTCGTGTTATTCATTGCATTGGACTCACCTTGGCATTTGTTGTCAATCCAATACAGTCCTTCCCCACAAACACACTTGTAAGAGCCAGGTTTGTTTTCGCATTGCATGGATTCATCTTCGCACTTATAGGTGAACAGCAAACACTCGTCGATATCTGTGGTAAGGATATTATAGCATTTGATTGAGTTCAGAAATCAGAGGCAGCTCTAGACAGGCCAAAAAACATCCTTTACACAAATGAGATTACGATCATAACCATACCGTTTTTCTTTTTCTTTTTCTTTTTTTTTTTTTTGTTCTTAT